TTCACCATGTTGACCAGGATGGTCTCGATCTCTTGACCTCGTGATCCACCCGCCTCGGCCTCCCACAGTGCTGGGATTACAGGCTTGAGCCACCGCGCCCGGCCTATTTATTTATTATTATTATTTTTTAAAAGACGGGGTTTCACCCTGTTGCTCAGGCTGGTCTTGAACTCCCGACCTCAGGTGATCCACCCGCCTTGGCCTCCAACGTGCTTGGATTACAGGCGTGAGCCACCGCGCCTGGCCATCGGTTATATATTATACTGGGACAGAGTGTGTCTTCTGTCTCCTGCTGTGGCACCTGGACAACTTTCTTCCCACAGTATACAGCTGGTGCTCTATAAATGTGGCTGCAGCCAAGTCTGGTCTCCCTGCTGGAAGCCAAGCCCCCCAAAGATATGGTCTCCCCTGATCTGACGTCCCCCGACTCCCGACTTGAAACAGGGCTGTGTATACAGCAGGTGCAAAGCGCACGATGGTGATGTCAGGGCAAGGTGGGAATCCTTGACTGGGTAGCGTGTGTCTGATGAAGCTGAGGACACAGTGGACATGGATTGAGTGCCTGCTGTGTGCCAGGCTCTGGGGGAGCAGGGCCACCGATCCCCCTTCCCCGAGAGCCATGAGGGTCCACATGCCTCCAGCCCGGCCCAGGCCCTGCATGTCCCCGGGTGCCCCCGCCCCGCCTGTTCCCGGAGACGGACCCGTTGGTTCCCTTCCCCACCCCTTGTCCCGGAGCCAGGAGGACGTTGGTTCTTACGACAGCCTTGGTCGGGCCGTTGTGTGGGTGACGGGAAGAGGAACCGGGGCTGGAGCCTGGGAATCCCATCCCCGCAGCTGGGGCTCCGGCTCTCCTGCCAGTTCTTCCAGGTGGAAGCTGTCAGGCTTGGGTAGCCGTCCTCGCCCCAGCCTCTGGGCCTGGGCAGGAACTCTCTCTCCAGCACCCCTGCCAGATGGCCACCCAGCCCCTGGCTCAGGAGGCGAGGGCACCAGGAAAGCTCAGCAAGGTGGAAGGGCGGGAGAGAGTCTCAGAGCCTCAGCTGGTGTCCGTGGGCTGATCGTGAGCCCGGGTGGGAGTGAGTTCCCGTTGTCAGCAACAGCCGGGGAGAGGGAGAGAGGCCGGGCCTGGGAGTGAGCCCCGAGGTTCAGGGAGCAAGGCTGGAGGGAGCCAGCCCCAAATCTCCGTCCGGCTGTGGGTCCCAGAGCCCTGGGCTAAACTCGCGGCTCATGGGGAAGGCCCTTGATGTGCCTCGGTTTCCTCACCCCAAACGGGAACCCTGGGAAAGGTCAGGGAAGTGCCTGGTGCACTGTGAGTGCCCAACACGGCTGCACGTTGCTGTTACCACAGTGCCCTGGGTAAACTGAGGCAGGTGAGGGCAACCCCTGTCAAGGCCCCTCAGCACTAGGTTTGACAGGTTTGGCAGAAACACAGCAATGCTCAGTTAACTTTGGATTTCCAGTAAGTCTATCCTGGGCATCATTTGAGGCAGGTTGAGATTTTAAAACGTCGAGACCAGCGCGGCCAACACAGTGAAACCCCATTTCTACTAAAAATACAAAAAGTTAGCCAGCCTCGGTGGCTCACACCTGTAACCCCAGCACTTTGGGAGGCTGAAGTGGGTGGATCCCACGAGGTCAGGCATTCGAGACCAGCCTGATCAACATGGTGAAACCCCGTCTCTACTAAAAATATAAAAATTAGCCGGGCGAGATGGTGGGCGCCTGTAATCTCAGCTTCTCAGGAGGCTGAGGCAGGAGAACTGCTTGAACCCGG